AGGGACCCCAAACTGCATCAGGGGATCCCAAACTGCCCCAACGGACCCCAAAACTACACCGAGGGACCCCAAAACTGCACCGAAGGACCCCAAACTGCACCAGGGGACCCGACAACTGCTCCAAGGGACTCGAAAAGTGCACCGTGGGACCCCAAACTGCACTGAGGGACCCCAAACTGCACCAGGGGAGCCCAAACTGCACCGAGGGACCCCAAACTTCACCAGGGGACCCCCAACTGCACCGAGGGATCCCAAACTGCACCAGGGGACCCAAAACTGCACCGGGGGAACCCAAACTGCACCAGGGGACCCCAAACTGCACCAAGGGACCCCAAACTGCACCGAGGAAACCCAAACTGCACCGAGGGACCCCAAACTTCATGAGGGGACCCCCAACTGCACCGGGGGTCCCCAAACTGCACAGAGGGAACCCAAACTGCACCAGGGGAGCCCAAACTGCACCGAGGGACCCCAAACTGCACCGAGGGACGCCAAAACTCCACCGAGGGAGCCCAAAACAGCAGCAAGGGAGCCCAAACTGCACCGAGGGACCCCAAACTGCACCAGGGGACCCCAAACTGCACCGAGGGACCCCAAACTGCACCGAGGGACTCCAATTGCACCAAGGGAGCCCAAACTGCACCGAGGGACCCCAAACTGCACCAGGGGACCCAAAACTGCACCAGGGGACCCAAACTGCACCGAGGGACCCCAAAACTGCACCAGGGGACCCCAAACAGCACCAGGAGTCCCCAAACTGCACCAGGGGACCCCAAACTGCACTGAGGGACCCCAAACTGCACCGAGGGACCCCAAACTTCACCAGGGGACGCCAAACTGCACCAGGGGACCCCAAACTGCACTGAGTGACCCCAAAAGAGCAGCGAGGGAGCCCAAACTGCACCAAGGGACTCCAAACTGCACCAGCGGACCCCAAACTGCACCGAGGGACCCCAAACTGCACCAGGGGACCCCAAAACAGCAGCGAGGCACCCCAAACTGCACCAAGGGAGCCCAAACTGCACCAGGGGACCCCAAACTGCACCGAGGGACCCCAAACTGCACCAGGGGACCCCAAACTGCGCCAAGGGACCCCAAACTGCACCGAGGGACCCCAGAACTGCACCGAGGGACCCCAAACTGCACCAGGAGACCCCAAACTACACCGAGGGACCCCAAACTGCACCGAGGGACCCCAAAACTGCACCGAGGGGCCCAAAACTGCACCGAGGGAGCCCAAACTGCACCAAGTGACCCCAAAAGAGCAGCGAGGGAGCCCAAACTGCACCAGGGGACCCCAAACTGCACCGAGGGACCCCAAACTGCACCAGGGGACCCCAAACTGCGCCAAGGGACCCCAAAGTGCACCGAGGGACCCCAAAACTGCACCGAGGGACCCCAAACAGCACCACGGGACCCAAAATTGCACCAGGGGACCCCAAACTGTACAGAGGGACCCCAGACTGCACCAGGAGGCACCAAACTGCACCGAGGAACCCCAAACTGCAACGAGGGACCCCAAAACTGCATGAGGGGACCCCAAACTGCACCGAGGGACCCCAAACTGCACCAGGGGGCCCCAAACTGCACCGAGGGACCCCAAACTGCACCGAGGGACCCCAAACTGCACCAGGGGACCTCAAACGGCACCGAGGGACCCCAAACTGCACCGAGGGACACCAAAACTGCACCAGGGGACCCCAAACTGCCCCGAGGGACCTCAAAACTGCACCGAGCTACCCCAAAATGCACCGAGGGACACAAAAACTGCACCAAGGGACCCCAAACTGCATCAGGGGACCCCAAACTGCACCGAGGCACCCCAAAACTGCACCGAGGGACCCCAAAACTGCACCAAGGGACCCCAAACTGCACCAGGGGACCCGCAAAGTGCACCGAGGGACCCCAAACTGCACCAAGGGACCCAAACTTCACCCTGGGACCCCAAATTGCACCAAGGGACCCCAAACTGCACCAGGGGACCCCAAACTGCACCGAGGGACCCCAAACTTCACCAGGGGACCCCCAACTGCACCAGGGGACCCCAAACTGCACCGAGGGAACCCAAACTGCACCAGGGGAGCCCAAACTGCACCGAGGGACCCCAAACTGCATCAGGGGACCCCCAAGTGCACCAGGGGACCCCAAACTGCACCGAGGGACCCCAAAACAGCAGCAAGGGAGCCCAGACTGCACCGAGGGACCCCAAACTACACCAGGGGAGCCCAAACTGCACCGAGGGACCCCAAACTGCACCAGGGGACCCCAAAACAGCAGCGAGGGAGCCCAAACTGCACCAAGGGAGCCCAAACTGCACCAGTGGACCCCAAACTGCACCGAGGGACCCCAAAAGAGCAGCGAGGGAGCCCAAACAGCACCAATGGACCCCAAACAGCACCAGGGGACCCAAAATTGCACCATCGGACCCCAAACTGCACCAAGGGACCTTGCCAAGCTGGGCAGGATAAGACCTGGTTGTAAGGCCCATGAACAGAATGAGGGGTGCTCCGTGCCTGTGCTGGGTGCCTCCGTTTCTCCTCTCTTTGGGCCTTTTCCTGACCTCCAGTTCACCCAGCGCACCCTGAAGCTGGGTCCACCGTGTGCTGCTTGTGCTGCTCTCCCAGCAAGCGTCAGGCAGCACCGTGCTTACGGAGCACGAGCGCTGCTGGTCTTACAGAGGGTTCACACCAGCCCTGGTGGGTGAGAGGCAGCCTCGGAGCAGCTTCGTCCTGCTTCAGTTCGCAGCGTTAGGAGAGGTTCAGTTGGACTCCTCCAGTTGGCTGCTGGCAGGTCTGAATGCTAAGGCTGGCACGTGGCATCCTTACTGCGGCAATGGGGTTTTCGGGTTAGAAACACATGATCTAGCTTCAGCCTTTACTGGCAGTGAACGTCCCAAGCCATGCCATCCCCATGGGCTAATGCACCCATCCCCTTGTGCTTGCTTCCCCTCCAGGAACACCTGATGGGGTTCTCCAGTGTGTGTGCGTTTCCTCCTCTGGCTCCCCTCTGTGAGAAGATTAAACAGTAGGTATAAAGATGTCGCTCCCAACCAGACACAGAACAGGGAACATTTGCATCCTTCAGAGCTCCTCCTCAGGTAACAGAGCTGCTGGTGGGCTCCTCCATAACACCACTGTCCAGGTAGCACCCAGGGAGGCTGCACAGGGTCCAGGTAAGGAGGATGCCTCCGAGGGATCAGCACAGGAGGGCCACCAGCACCTTCATAACTGGGGGAACAGGAGCTAAGCAGCAGTTGCACAGTGCTGGGAGCACCCCGGGTGTTTCAGGAAGCGGGGTGGATGGATGGCAGACAGGAGCTGATGGGGACAGCACCTGGGATCTGTTGCTCCTAAGGCACGTTTCCCAGTGTACCCATTGTAGTGCAGCCACTTGGAGGAGGAGGAGACCAACACATCTAAGACTAAACCAGCTCTATCCACAGTTCATTTTGACTGCCAGGACCAACTTGCTCCTGGGATTGACAGTATGAGGATGGGATTGGGAATGGATTGATTAATGTGAAGCGTCTTGTAAGTGTCTGGAATGTTCAGTCAGGATGAATAACCTGAGCTTGAGCCCTGGGAGCTCAGGCAGTGGGAGCAGGATCAAACTGCATCGTCCGTTGGATGGGATGTGTTCACCCCTTGTGAGCCGTCTCTCAATGCCCTCTCTCACTCCTTGCTTTCCTCTTTCTGTGCCTTCCAAGAGCCTGCCTTACAGTTGGATTGGTTTAGGTGCTCTGAACCTGGGCCAGTTCCTGCAGCTGAGCCTTACTGCAGAGCAGGAGGAGCCCAAGGCAGCACGTGGGAATGATGCCCTACAGACAGGGTCACAAGCCCCAGCAGGAGTGCGTGTCCCCCCTCTCCCCTGTACCTCTCTTACCCTGATGCTTGCGCAGGCTGAAGAATCCGCCCTCCCTGCACCCATGTGCCCCCTGGGCCAGGTTCCGCATCTCTCCTGAGAGCAAGGTGCTGGAAAGCCTCTGTAGGGCAGGTTTCCAAGGCAAGGCTGAGGAGCGCATCCGGGAGCTGCCTGAGCTATGTAGGAAGGGCTGCTCAGTGTAGGGGAGCTAAGCTGTGGCCTGTGGGCAGAGCTGCCGCACCACGGGGAATGCAGCAAGTCCCCAAGCTAACTAGGAAGGGGCAGAGAGCTGCCACCATCACTGTGACACCTGCCTCAGGTACTGCTAAAGGTATGGGGCTGCTGGAAACAAAAGTCACAGTGGAAGGAAAAGAAGTAATTGTCATTAATGACATGTATGACATTAATGAATGTAATGAAGCTCTGTGGGATAACATCAGGGCTCAGCTCTCCATTGCTCAAATCAAGGGAAGATGCTTTCCTCCAACCTGGTTGAGCATCCCCAGAAGCCTGTGGGACTCGATACAGAACTGGCGAGGTGCGAGCCTGATCCTCAGTTAGGACATGAGGGCGTCGGTGAATTCGGTGTGTGTGGTCCCACCAAATCCACTTTTATCCTCTAAAATAAGCGTTTGTGTGTACGTGCAGTGCAGCCTGGGACGCAGCCTTCTAGACTGAGCACAGCAGGAGAGAGAGTGAGGACTTGAGGGAGGGCATTTGCCATTTGTCTTTAAGGAAAGGAGGAGTTTGATCTCCATCAGCTTGAGGCCCCATTCAGCAGCTCCTCCCCAAGCAGAAGGACCTCCAGTTGTGTCTCCTATCTGCCAGGCTGGGTAAGGTCTGGATTCCCAAACCCCATTATAGTTACCTCTATACTAGACTCTATAGTTGTAGGGCCCGAAGGGTTGACACTGCAGGAGCCCAGCCAGCACATACAGAAGGGAATCAGGATTTGCTCCGTCAGTGTTGAAGGTCAAGCACAAGGAGCCATGGCTGCGGTGCCAGCTCTGACCTGCTGTGCCTGCTCTACCATGGTTTGTAAACCCTGACCGGTTCCGTCCCTGTGTTAACTCCGTGTTTGCTGGGTCTGTTGTTTGTTCACAGTGTTCTGAGCTCCAAACTGCCGTTTGAGGACCTCGATGGGGATAAATTCAGCACTTTCCCGGTAAGCAGAGCGTTCCCCTTGGGTACAGTAGGAATGCCTAGGGGATTCCTCGTGCTCTCTGCAAAGCCTCGGTCATGCGTGTGAAACAGGTACAGGAGTGAAGTGAAGGGAGGGGGTTTGGGTCATAACAAGTGTTTTGTTCTGGATGAGAAACCCAATCATGCTTTGATGCCACCTGGGGAGATGCACACGGAGCTGGGCTCCTGCAGAAGGGGGTTGCTCTGCTGCTGAGTGCTCTCTTCACCGAATTAAGAAGAGTGAAGGGAAGTCCTATTGAAAACCACCCCAAATTAGACCACCAGCTCATCTCCTTCCTGCACCAAAGTGTGCTCGGGGCCGTTTATTGACGCTTAGCCCGTGGCCTCTGGAACAGAACCCATTTACTGCACTTGATTCCTGCACCTGGGCTCAGATGCTCATTCTAGACCTGTCCCATTACAAGTGCCGAGCAGCAGTGTCCATCCCGGCCATCCCTGTGCTTCCCCTGTCCTGCAGACGCTGCGGGGCTACCACTGGCGAGGCAGAGACTGCGACGACAGCACCAGCGCCGTGTACCCCGGCAGACGGTAAAGCTCCCCAGGAGTACCAAGGCCGAGCTCTAAGGGAGCAGAGCGCTGCGTGAGGCTTGCTTGTACAGGGATGGAGACAGGAGGGAACGATGGGGAGCAGCGGCAGGGCTGGTGGACGGGGTTTGTTCCTGTCTCTGAAGCATCCGAAACCAAAACTGGTTGGACAGAGCAATGGGGAGGGCAAATCCCCATTAGAAAGCTAGGGAAAGGATCGGTCTCCTGCAGAGATCACCCCGTTCACCTCACCTGGGTGAAGATGCAGACTGAAAGGGTCAGTTCCATTCAGCAACATCCAGTGCTAACCTTAAATCAATATTGCATTTTGCTAGGAAAAATGGCCTGCCCTGGTTTCCAAGTGGGGAAATAAAAGAGCCTCCTGTGCAGGAAGGGATTTCTGGTTATTATACATTCGTAGTGACGAATGGCACAAAGCATCCCATTCCCTCGAGGGCTCCTTTTGCTTTATTTGCTGTAATGCTGTATATCCTCTTGTTTTAGTCCCGATAACTGGGATGCGGAGAGGGACTCTAACTGCAATGGCATATGGGTAAGTAAATGATGTTGCATCCTGTATTTCCCTCCTGATTGCTGCTTCTCTTTTTTCCTCCCTTTGGATTAGTCTGCAGGTATTGATTTTTCTTTCTTCTGGTTTATGAACTGATTTGGATTACTGCTATTTATTTACTGCTTTTGACATTCCAAGGAATAAAACTGTATTTATTAAGAACCAAGGAAACGGGGGGGAAGTACTTATGAGTGAGGTTTATTTATTGATGCTTATGATTGTTTACAGTTTTTGCTATTATATATATATATATCATAGAAACACAGAATCCCAGCCTGGTTTGGGTTGGAAGGGACCTTAAAGCTCCTCCAGCTCCAGCCCCTGCCACGGGCAGGGACCCCTTCCGCTGGAGCAGCTTGCTCCAAGCCCCTGTGTCCAACCTGGCCTTGAGCACTGCCAGGGATGGGGCAGCCACAGCTTCTCTGGGCACCCTGTGCCAGCGCCTCAGCACCCTCACAGGGAAGAGCTTCTGCCTAAGAGCTCAGCTCAGTCTCCCCTGGGGCAGGTTCAAGCCATTCCCCTTGGCCTGTCCCTGCCTTGGCCTTGCTGAAGCTCACGGTGATGCTCGCACCTCTGGAGCCTCTCAAGGCAAACATTGAAGAACAGAATTCCCAGCTCAGTTGCGCACTGCGTTTTCCAGGCGCTAGGTGGGTGCCATCATAATCCATCTGCTCCTTCTCTCCTCCACCAGGGTGTGGATCCAAAGGATGGGATTCCCTATGAGGAGAAGTTCTGCAAAGGTAAGTCTTTACAGTCAGTATGAAACACAACGTGCCTTTAGTATTGACTCCCTGAATACAATGATGTTTTCACAGTCATTGCCAACGCAGGGGAAGGACTTTGGGTTTTACACCTTCACGAGAAAGGCAAAATGGCCAAAGATGGAATTTCTAGTTTATTTATCTTGAGGATGAACAGGGATGGGACATGGAAAGCAAAGGCTGTTGGTAACTGTGTGTTGGGAGCCAGCCGAGCTACACTCACCTTGCTTACATTGAAATCAGCATCCTGGGGCTGAACCGTTGCCTGGCAAGGCTTTAAGACATTTGTAGTTGAAAGGCAATCTATAAGTGCTAAAGTAGTGTTAATCAGAAGCCACCGTGCTGTTCTAGCACAGATACTCCTATGGGTGAGTACTGCACCCACCACCCAGCTCCCTATGAAGAGCTTTGAGGAATTCCATGACTAATCTGATTTTCCTCAGTGTTTAAGCCCTTTATAAAGCAGATTCCATGGGTAGCAAAACCAAACGCTGGCTGCAGAGCAGAGCCTCTGATGAAGTGATGCATCCGTCCCTGCGTTACAACCAGGGCTTTTAGTGATGAGCAAGACCTCTCCCTGCTCTCCATGCCCAGTTGTGTCCCTGGGGCTGTTGGTACACGTCTGTTAACCGGTTTATACTGAACAGCCAAAGCCCCATGGCAGGCTCTGAACAGTTCAGCCCCATTGCGAGTGATGTAGCCGGTGTCCTCATGCCTCCACCAGTTAACACTTCAAGCATTGCTCTGGGTGCTCTGTTCTGGTCTGCTCGTGGGACTAACAGAAGGCATTCCCTAGGTGCGGATTCACAAGGGGTGGTGCTGCTGGGGGACTCAGCCGGCGCTCACTTCCACATCCCCCCCGAGTGGATGACCGTCCCGCAGATGTCAGAGGTGAGGACGCGCGCTCGGGTTCCCACGCACCGCCGCGCCGCTCGTTGCCAAAGGGAAACGGTGCAGAATCCTTAGCTATAGTTTTATAAACCCAAATTTGTTTATAATGTATAAATTAGTGCTGTATGACTTACACATTTCCAGTCACTGCACTGGAAGTGTAACTAACTGGAGTTACAGTCTCCCGTCTGTTATTCCACTCTTCAAAAGGCAGAGCCCTGTGCTGCCCCTCTCATCCCACATCCATGCTATTGGGTCAGGGAAGAGTTTGGCTTCAGTGGCCTTGTGCTGTGCCAGGGACACAAACCAGGACATCTGCCCCCCCCGCAGGGCTGTGGGCTCAGTCCTGCCATCAGTAGGCTTGTTGGTACGGCTCCTTGCTGTGCACGGGCTGTAGGAGGGACCCTGCTGACAGCCTGGGATCTTCTGTCTTAGGCATCTGGCTTTGAAAGGAGAAGTCCTGGCTGGCTTTCCCTCATCTGTGCTATGCATGAAACAGGTCTGGTAATCCCAGTGTTCCGAGGCTCATCAAACACATACACCTGCAGGTGTCTGAGGGTCATCCAAGGGTTTAGAATGGGCTTGGCCTACAGGAAAGGGTTTCCGTAGTGACTGTGGTGTATCACTGCTGCACTGATGTCCATCTTTGGGCAGTATCCCAGCATTTCCCATTGTGTAGCCACAGAATGCACCTGGCTGTGAATTAGTTCACTGGTGTGGAATGGCACAACTGGGGGGAAAAGATGATTCCAGCAAACTGCAGCTGGGTGGAGACAGATGAACATGCAGGGATGCTCCTGTCCTGCACTGTTGTTTCCTATCCCGTTCCTAACCAGTGCCGGTCCCTAGCCAGGAACTGCGTGTTGTCCTTCTCTCTGTTGCATGGGGGTGAGCAGATAGAGCATCATTACCCACCAGCCCTGGTGAAAGCCTCCTGCTTGCCCCCTGGCCTCTGTAGGAGGAGGGCATGGGTGTTTCCTGGAGAGCAGCCCCTATTCCATAGTGTCAGTAGTCCCAGAGCTGAGGGAGGTCCCAGTGCTCCATGCGTTCTCCCACTGTGGCTCCCAGAGCGGAGCTGATGCAAATGTTGCAGATTAGGAGTTGTTTTCCTTTGTTAAACGTTTATGAGCAACAATCAAGACGACTGGCACTGATGGCAGAGCTCATGATAAGCATAATAAATCAGTACTAATGGTAATTGAGATTATCTTGTCTAATACAGATGCTAATAAGGCTGATGGTGATGGTGATTCTGGCAGTAACACCGGTAGCAGAGCCATGGAGGCAAGAACAGTCTGAGGCTATGGCAGCATCTTACTATGTCCCTAGTGAAGGTTTAAACAGCATTCCTCTTGCTTGAAGCTTGCTGGTCTGCTAGCTGGGTGGGGTGAGGACTGGTAATGGCATGCAGAAGCAGAAGCTCCAAGGTCAGGATCAGGAGTACAGGTTAGCAAGTGGGTTTTGATGGCACCTCGTTTCTGCCTGATGGGTGTAGAGCAACTTTAACAGGAAGGAAAGGGGTGCTCTGTGTGTAAGACCCCACAGACGTGTGTTTCCAGTGCTCAGTTCAGCCTGGCCAGCATGGGGAGAGGATCAAGGAGGGGTTGGAAAGGAAGCAGGCTGCTTCCCTTTGCAGAGAGGGTGACTCTGCATTAGAGCCAGTGTCCTGCAGTGGGGCAAGGAGGGCAAAGAGAGATGTGTTCCTCTCTGGTTCTTTTCCAGGACTATTTCCAAGCTGGTGCAGATACAACAGTTAAATACTGATGCAGAGACAGAGCGAGTTCAGCCATATAAAACCTCATTATCCGTGCGCAAAGCCTGCCAATAGTGAGAAATTGCTTCATTTGCAGCTCACCTTAATGAAGAAAGTAATTGCCTGAGCACAAAAGAGCCAGCAAAATAACTCCTGAGCTCATCCAGGCCTGGTCACTGCCTCTGCCTCTTGCTCCTCCTCCGTGTCTTGCTCTCTGTGCACAGAATGGCAATAGCAGCGGTTCAGCGGGCTCGGGCTTGTGGAGCACATCCAGGGGTGGTTTGTGACCGGAGAGAGTGCAGGGACTGTGTCCTGACCTCATAGAAAACACCCTTAATCTGGGAGCAGAGCAGGAATGTGAGGTGAGGGCTCTGAAAGGGGAGGCAAAGGCACTCCTATCCCCGTGTATGCGCCGTTCCCCCTTGCTGCCCAACTCAAGGCACTGTGCTTTGAATGTGCCAACGTTCCTTTGATAAAACACACAGAAAGATTACTTTATCAAGTGGCTTTCTCTACAGTCAACGCTAGTGTCAGTTCCAAGCCTTCATTTCCATTTCTATTGAATCTCAGCCCTCTGCGTGGCATTCCAAACAGGGCTTCTCTCTCCCCGCCCTTAGGACTTCTATCTTGTGTATAAGAAAGCAGTTGTGTGCTTGTTAGTTCACATTTAGGGAGTGTATTCTTTCATCCCTTCATTTTTTGTCTGTCTTTTACCTATTTAATTTATATCTTTCATCTATATAAATGATTTGTATTTATCCTTATACATGTTAATTTCCCAGTCTAACTGGGAACTTACTGCTGTCTTAGCATTGGCCTCTCCCAGTCACAACCCCTGTGTAATCTGGTGCAAATGGATATGCTTTTGTCGTATGTCCTACGTCAAGAAACGCATCGATTTGTCCCATATCCAGTCCCCTAGAGCCTTCCTGATCTTCCTATTCTCTTGCACCTAAGTGACCAAATGCAAAGGCCTGAATCATGTTCCTGCGTTCATCCTGTAGGCAGTGTTGGAAGGGGAGGACTTGCATGCTCCCGCAGAGCACGTGGCCATTATTAACTTGCCATCACCCCAGTAAATCCCCAGATACCCGGAGTATCATTACAGGGAAACCATTATACAGCTCTAAGGAGGGAGTAAGACAACTTAAGTTTGGCTCTTTGCTTATCACTGGGTTTGGGGTTTGCCAGGCTTTCCTTCTTTCAAAAGGTTCAGCTGCACATTCCCTCCTCTGCCATTAAAAATGCAGTATAGTGCAGCAGACACGCACTTTATGAGGCTTAGCAAAGCAGAAGGACACTGGTTGGGGTGTTCCTTAGAGGTGGATGGTGTTTTGGGAACGCTGATGTTGAAAACGCCGGTGTGTCTAGGGATGGGTGTTGTGCTCCTGCTGCTCTGTCCATCTGCTTACAGGTGACTTCCAGACAGCTGCTAAACCTAGCGCCTTGGCTGGGATAGAAGCTTGCTTCTAAATCTCGTTTTAGAGGCAAATTTACCTTGAGATAAAAGCAGTGTATGTGTGGAAATGGTACCCTCGCTAGGAGGATGCGATTTAGAGATCTTGGCTCTCTATTCCATGCTGAATAAAGAGAAAACCAAAGCCATGTCTATCTGTAATGCAGTAAATACCTATTGGCCCACAAACTCGAGGTGTTCTCAGGTTTCATTGAAGTAACTGGCTCATCCTATATATTTCCTATGAAAAGAATGCAGCTTTGCTGTAAATGTGGGTTCAGGATGTTCAGAATAGTGTCATCCTTTGGGGTCTTGCCCCACTGTAAATGTCAGGAGTCTGATCTGTGGATATCTTATTAAAACCATCCCGTAGCTTCCCTCTAAACGCAGTGAATCACAGGCAAGGCCCTCCCAGCTAATCCTGTGATGAGTGAGATCCTGTATTGGGGGGAATATAAGGGAATAATGCTTTACAGAAAGATAGGCTGTGCTTTCCTCAAGAGCTCTAAGGCTTCTTGCTTATTCGTATGCTGAGGATAAGGAAGGTGTCTGCGGTACTTAATGCTACCACAAGAACTGGAACAGCATTGAAGTCAGTATAAAAACTAATACCCAATTCCCCTGCGAATTAAGGGGTACTCCTGCACTTTCAGGGTTGCTGGAACTGGCTTTTCTCATAGGCTCCCAATGCCCTTTTGTGTTCTGATTTGGAAGATCTCTTGCCATAGGAGCCTTGAACCGTCCTCCATACAAGCCCAGCTTGGAGTGCCTGCGTTTAGCATCAGCCGTGGCCGTGGCTGCCCTGTATTTGAAGGTAGGACACATCCAGGAGGTGAGGTTGTTCCTTCAAAGCCAGACCCATCTAGAGCGACCGAGGCTAAACTGTGGCATTTGAAGCTAGGCTGGAGCCAGTTTCTAATCCCTCTCTGCTGAAATCTGGCCCCTAGGCTGAAGCATGGCTTCCCAGCCAGAATAGTCCAGAGAATGGTATTTCAACAAGGCTGTGCGAGAGTTTGAAGCCAGCATAGATCCACCTTCAGAGCGGGACATGGTTGTAGGTAAGGCTAAGCAGAATGCAGTCTGTTAGACCACGCTTTCCAAACCGCATCACTGCAGCGTTCAAGGTCTAGCATCCTCCTCAGGGTTCCACTGAGTACTCATCCTCACCCTTGGGTCCTGAAATACCTTCCAAAGCCTGGCTCTAAGTGCCTTGCTGGAACAGTGTCAGTGCTGATCATATAGACAGTGCTCAAATGCAGCTGTAATTCTGGTCTTAAACGTTCCTTTCCAAACCAGTTTGCAGCTCAGTCAGGTCCTGGCTTAATCTTAATTCATATTTAAGGTAAGTTTGCAGGAAAAAAAAGAAGAAAATGTTAAAAATGGCTGGGAATTGTCCAGTGAAAATATTGGGTTGGAGTAGAAAATACAAGGAAGTAGGTCACAGAAAAACCTGTTTTAAAAATATTTCCTTATTTGGGGGTTCTTTCTATACTCCTCTGTGTTGTGTCTTACGAAGGCTCATACCTACAGCTGTACAGTGACCCTGTCACTATTCCTGTCACCTTTCAAGCCGAGAAGAGATGAACATTGCACATGGCCAAGCAGTCTTGTCCCCCTCCACTCCCACTCGTAGCTGTGAGCTCTGCCCTTGGGTTAAGGGCTTTTCTTGCACACAAAGCTATCACATTTGATGGCAGATTTGGAAGTTCCCTCCAGGCTTTCAAAACTGATGACTTTATGTATATATATATACATATATATGTTGTGTATGTATGTATGTATGTGTGTGTATGTAGAGATACACGCAAGGACAAGAGAGAGAGGCAACCAGCAGAAAGATAATGAAGCCAGACCCATTTTCCCCTTGGTAACGAATGCAGATCTCCTGTAAGTAGGTCAAGTATGCTGTTCCATGCTGTAAACCTGCATCTGCTCTGCATTAGGCTGCTCAGAGCTTGGCTTCAGGATTCCTTCCCCCTCACAACCCCCCTTTTCTCGCCTCTCCTCCCCTTTCCATGCCTCTCTCACTGTCCAACCCCAGCGGCGTGTGCTCAAGCACAGCTCCCATTCATCTAAATGACGATTCTGGGGATGAGGACTTGGTGGCAACCACAGAATTGAGCTCTTCTGTGGCTCCTGAGCAACCTCTGACCCTCCTGGAGAGAGACTTACCCAACCTGCAGCCACGGTTTAAGGAAACCCCACAACTGCTTCACCAGAAAAGGAAGCTAATGATTTACATGGCTTAAACCAGCCTGTAGGTTCTCTTCTTTGGGCTATCACCTTTGCCATCAGCAGCCTCTCAGTATGAGCATGCTGCATTGATGCTTTTGTCTTTGCAAGGGTACCCCGGACCAGGGGAAGCTGAAAATCATCACCTCCGCGTCCTCACCTCTCTGAGATGGTGCCGCTTCCCCAGCCCATTTCTCTCACCTATCCCGATCTTCCACCCGTTCAGAGGTCAAAGTGGCAATGGGCAGGGCCCTGTGTTTGGAATGGGCAGCACAGCTCACATCTGCAGGGAGGCTCTCCCAGAGCCAGGGGCTAACAGCAGCGAGAGCAGGGAAGGGGGAAGGTTGCATCTGTCCGTGTGGGAAGGATGAGGCAGGCCGTGTGCTTTTCCTCCTGGTCCCTGCTGTGCTCAGAGGCCTTCCTGAGTGATGCTTCGGTGCCTGACGTCTGCAGTGAGGATGGGCAGAGGCTTTTAAGGGGTTGGATTCTCACAGTTGGTTCTGATGGAGAGGGCAAAGGAGCATGGAGTGAATCTGATGTTATCATCTCTGCCATGGAACCTCCCACTCTCATCCCTCCCCGTGCTCAAGGAACCTACCTTTGGGCAGGGAGGATGCTGCAGCACGCGGCTGTGTTGTCTGCAGTGCGGTACGTGCTCCACGTCAGGAGGAGCTCTGGGCTCTCCAAAGAGTGCCAGGAGACAGGATTCAGATCCCCCTCCTGCTTTTCCATCCCCTCTCTGCTGGTTTGCCTGGCTTACAGGAGGCAGCTCTGTCAGCAGACGCACATGAGGGTGCGGCACTGACAGATGCTGTGGCTGCCCCATCCCTGGCAGCGTGCAGGGACGCCCACTGGAGCAGCCTGCTCTAGTAGAAGGTGTTGGAGCAGTGGCAGGGGTTGGAACTGGGTGAGCTTTGAGGTCCCTTCCAACCCCAACCATCCTATGCCAAGTAATTCCTGCCCCAGCTGTAGTTCCCATTGCTGCTGCCCAGTGATGCTGCAGCCAAGCGCTCGACTTTGCTGGAAGGATTTATTGAGGGTGAAACCATGTTGATTTAAGCCTTTCTCTTTCAGAAATCGTTTGCCAATCTCCCAATGGCTTTCAGCAACGAGCTGGACTGGCCCCAGTTCTCAGAGGTCACCGGGTTTCTGAACTCCACCATCGGGTAAGCCAGCAGGCAGCACGGCCAAGCCTAGCCAGTGTTAAGGTCCCTTAAAGCACAGCAAGGAAAAGAAAGAAAGGAGTGCTTGAAAGGTAAGGTAAAAACGCCCATCAGCTCTGCTTGTGCTTGCTCTCACCCCAACACTGGGTCTAGGGCTCTGCAAAAACCCATTGAATATACAGACAGTGCACAGAGCTCTGGCCTGGTCCTCTGACACTCAGGGCAGGTTTTAGAGATGCTCAAGCTGGAGCTTAGAAGGAGCTGAAAAACCCCAAAGGAATAAAAGCTGAGCTCACTGTTTTCAGAATTCAGGGGCAGGCAGAAGGGGGCTTTGCAGAAAACAACAGAAATCTGCATTTTCCTTTCCTTGTTTTCCCTCCCCCCACCCCAGTTTCCTCTTCCTCCTCCTGTTTCTTTCTGCTGCTGGAGCAGTGGGGCAGTTATTTCACAGTGTTCCCCTTTCTGGGGCAGTCTGCCTCCCACTTAGTTGCTTGGAAGTGCCTGTGGCCTATTGGCTGAGTTACACTGGCTCAGGAGGATGGGGAAGGGAGCAGGAGTGCATGGGGAGAAAGAACCCTCTGCCCGGAAGCAGTGAGGATGCAGCCCAGAGGATGCAGCCCGAATGCAAAGCAGAGGCTTGGAGATGCCCGAATGCAAAGCAGAGGCTTGGAGATGCCCAGATGCAAAGCAGAGGCTTGGAGATGCGCAAATGCAAAGCAGAGGCTTGGAGATGCCCGAATGCAAAGCAGAGGCTTGGAGATGCCCAAATGCAAAGCAGAGGCTTGGAGATGCCCAAATGCAAAGCAGAGGCTTGGAGATGCCTGCAGCATTCACTGTGGAGCTCAAAGGAAACACTGGTGATTTTGTTCATCATCTTCCTGGCCAGCATTAAGAGGCTTTTGGCTCCTGCTGGCTCTGGTGGGTATCATCCCCAGCAGTGCCTGCACTGCCTTTGGGTTGCAGATGAGTGCTGTTTGCTGTGATGCCTGCCATGGGTCACCAGCACAGGGGAATGCCAAAGCAAGCAGGAGTCAAGCCTGAAGGGGCTCCCCACCAACAGATGAGGAAGTTGGCAGGGTATATTCCTCTCGAGGAAGAGGCTCTGTTGCAGCACACACTGGTACTTGCTGCTTGCTTGCTTTTCTCCCTGTGCAGAAAGCAGGCTCCCAGCCTCAGCCACATGCATTCACTCACACAGGGTGTGCTTTAAGGTGGTGCACTGCTTGGCAAGCCTATAGAGCAGAGCCGTGCAGCCTCCCCTTCTAGGGTCAGCAGCAAAACCAACTGTTAAAAACCTACTGCAATGCCCAGGTACTCCATACACAGTCTGTGCCCGGGCCCCAAAGGACCTGAAGTGATCCACAGGGATCAGAGCTTAGTACTGAGTGTGAAGCTGGCAGCGGTAGGCATTGGGTCAGTGCTAATCCCTTTCTTCACCTCCTCCACATCTGGCAGAAGGAGAAGGAGACTGTTTGGGACAGTGAGGCGGTTTTAAGAGACCGGTTGGCAATGTGCAGGCGAGGCTCCCATTGACTCTGAGCCTGCAGAGACAGAGACACAAACTGATGTGGGCCATGCCCAGGGTGCATGAAGAGGGACGCTGCTTTTTAACTGATGTCCTCCTACTGAGGAGGCCTGTTTGCTTCTCCTCATTCACTGCCTGCAGGGCTGAGAGCCCAAAGAGCCTGGGTGTTTCCTGTGTAGCCCATTACACGGTGACGGGTTGTTATTGCCGTGTGTTTCTATGCAAACAGTCACTTTTTAGTGCTAGTTTCAGAGCTTCCCGTTGTCTCCCGCTCCTCTGCATTCATCCCAGTTTGCTGTTCCTAAGCCATTTGATCCCTTTGGTGTCAAACAGAAAGCCAGCAGCCCCGATATAAACAACCAGCTTCTCCTCAGCTCCCTTTTGTGCCGTTACCCTCTGCATTTGCATTTCCATCTTCTCAACAGTGCAAAGCAAAGGAGAGAACTAATCACAGCCAAGCCTAACCTGTTTTCAGATCAATCCATGCGAGACTTATGGCACTGGGAACTGAATGCCCTGCCAATGTTTCCTCTCTTTTATTTACTGTTCCATAACAAGCAACAGAGAAGTCAATTAGTGAGCAATCACCAGAATTGCTTTGATAAATGATGTGCGACAAAAAGGGTTTTTAGATCCTCATTTGAGAGACCAGGATGAAAGCATCCCGGATGGAACATTTTCAGAGAGGCTCCCCATCAATCCACAGCTTTGGAGAGGGTATCTATCTCTGCTTCTGTTTTAGGGCACCCTGTTCCAGATCTAAGAGATGTCCGACCCCAAGAAAGAGAGATGCTGAAAGAGAAGTGTATAGATACGTGGGCACAGAGCTGTTCAGGGATGAGAGCATGCTTCGGGTTTGACACCAGCTGTATTCTAACAAGTATGGGGTGAGTTTAACAGCTTGCACTGCCTTGCTTCCTTCCAGAGGCTGGACGGACTCCCTGTACCTGCGCCTACGGAGCAGGAACCGCTGTAATCACAGGGACCTGCAGAACATCTCCAAAAACGGTATGCTTTTTCCCTTTTTTTAAGGAAAAGTTCCACATGTGATGCTTGAGGGTGTGTTAGTGAGCATCTTCCCTTCCGAATCCAAGAGAATTCCTTCCTAATGGCATAGCTTTCCAATGGGAACATAGAGAACAGCACTTACTTAACCCAGCATCTTTGCTCCTGGCTCTGAGCAGGGAGGTGTGCAGCTTGACCACCTTTATCCATGCACCAAGTGAGCAATTCCACTTGGCTAACCAACACTGTACCCCACTGTAACTCTGTGGGGCTGTTTTGGCCATAAGGGGGGATTTAGAGGGATATCAGTAGCAGAGATGGAGCCTGTCTCACAGCAAGGGTGTCCACGATGTCCTGTGACATCCTTTGGAGCTGGCGGCCAGCAAACAGAAGTCCTCTTGCAAAACTGGGGTGCTCGATGCTGCAGGCATCTCAGTGGGTTCTTAGAACAGATTATAAAGGAGGACACAAAGCTAAGCTAAAACTGGGGCAAAAGAGGAAGATGAATGCAAGACAAGAGACAGGAGAGAACCAGCTAAGCAGGGCAAAGCAGTGGGTTTGGGAGAGGAGCTGCATTCAATGGGTAAGGGTAACTGCTCTGCCTCGTCCCTTTTCCTCTCCCTAATGTCTTCATCCATCACACAGCACATCCTGCATCACAAGAACACCCTCGAAGGCTCAATTTACCCATGGAAACAGTTTTCTGTTAAAACCCCCGTCATTGTCTTGATGTTTTCACTCTGTTTGTAACTGCCAGTGCTGTCCTCTCACTCCCCTCGCTTGCAGACCCAAGAGCAGCTCCTCGCTTGCTTTGTAAACACAGCTCTTGATTTCTAGAGACCCCAGTGGGTTCTCTGTGCTGGAACCGCAGCCCCGGCCCGGGGAGCTTTGCTGCTGAGAGCCCTAACAGGGGGCTGCTGATCAGCAGCTGAGAGAGGGGCTGTTAAACAGGAGCAGCAAGTCAGCTGGTGGGAGCTATGGTCCAAGCTGTGTTGTGTAGGGGCTTGGTGGTGCTCTTATTCTGCTGAAAAGAGCTGCTTGACCGAAGGGCTGCGCTTTGAATGGAGCAGGAGCCCTTGGGGAGGAGCAGCAGACAGGGATGGGTTCAATTGTGGCTTGCAAGAGCTGGATTATTTAACCCATAAAGGATCTCTCTATATATGCTGTTGGTTGGCATCACCATGAGTGATGACAATAAAGGCACCACTATTGAAAAGCAAGGTGTATTGTTGCTGCCTTAGGAGCTGGTCTCAGATCCTTGCCCTGTACCCATCCAGCAGGGATTTAAGGATGCTCTGTCCCTGAGCATCCCACCTAAGAACTATGGGGAGGAGAGGGTTTGCTTCTCAAAGCACGCTTCAGAGGCACGGTGCAGCAAAGAGGGGAAGAGAGAGACCAGGGAAGGGCTGCATGGAGAATAAAGGGAGTGCAATGCAAGAGGAGAAGGAGTGAGAAAAGAGCAGTGAAAAGAGGGCAGAATGAAAGGAAGCACAAGCTGCAGGGCCCACTTCTCTGGAGCTGATGTTTCTATGCAGTGATGTGAGGCAATCACAGTCCCAGTCTAGTCCTGGACAAAGCATACAGCCTTTTCTGTCTCCCTGTTTGCTCTCACTCTGGCACGGCAGGTGATGGAGTCAGACCCGTGTGCTATGGATAGGTGGGATGTGTATGCATGGCCTTTGAAGAGCTGCTAGTAAGGTTTATGCATGAAAGCTTTCCTAATCGGGAATGCTTTTCTCATTGAAGATATAAAAGAAGGGGTACAGATGCTCGGAGGGGCTTATGTGTAGCTGGCTCTTTTCCTAGGGGGTTTCACATTCATTTGGGTGAATTGCCATCAAAATGCAGAGCTTCTCAGGAGGGGTGCTGCGGCTGGCCTCATCCTATCTTTCCTAAGCATGGCACTCGTGGGGAGACCAGTGCAGACACCCCAATGCTGGTGCCTTTGAAGTGCTATTGAAGATGCTTTGTGGTATCTCTGTCACCTCCAGCCACCTGTGCAGCAGTAAGTGCCCAATCACTGGGGCATCCTGCATCCTATCTGCCCGCCCTGCTACAGGTGCCTGGGATGCTCTGGGATGAGCCACTGGGTGCCTGTGTTTAGGAGCTGAATCAATCACACCTGGTAGGGCTGTGAGGTGCTTACTCTCTGAGAGGAGTGGGAACAGTTCTTTCCAGTTTATAGGGAAAGTTAAAGCAGACAGACTGCTAACAAGTCACTCTGGCTGCTTGACAAGAGACCATGGCCTTCAGCTGATGGAACAGAGCTGCTGGGTGTGGATGGAAAGCCAGACCTAAACAACCCAGGGCTTGAAAGGATTTGCTTGTCTACAGTCTGAAATGTGGGACTCGCTGGGGTCTCTGGATATAGATTTACACCCAAAAGAGTTACAGGGATGACTTAGTGTGTCATTGGTAATGCTTCTAAGATGAACAATGGTGGTGGTGGTGGTGAGACCCTGTGGGGCTGGAGGAGCTCGAGGCTCCCTTCCACCCCAAAGCAGTCTCTGAGTCTATGATCTGTTGTTTGAAGCAAGCAAAGGCACTGTGGCCTGCCCTTCCTTGTGTTGGTGAGTGTAACAGTGCTGTGCTCCCTGTGGGGCTGGAGGAGCTCCAGGGTCCCTTCCACCCCAAAGCAGTCTCTGAATCTATGATCTGTTGTTTGAAGCATGCAAAGGCACTGTGGCCTGCCCTTCCTTCTGTTGCTGAGTGTAACAGTGCTGTGCTCCCTGTGGGGCTGGAGGAGCCCGAGGGTCCCTTGCACCCCAAAGCAGTCTCTGAGTCTATGATCTGTTGTTTGAAGCATGCAAAGGCACTGTGGCCTGCCCTTCCTTCTGTTGGTGACTGTAACAGTGCTGTGCTCCCTGTGGGGCTGGAGGAGCTCCAGGGTCCCTTCCACCCCAAAGCAGTCTCTGAATCTATGATCTGTTGTTTGAAGCATGCAAAGGCACTGTGGCCTGCCCTTCCTTCTGTTGGTGAGTGTAACAGTGCTGTGCTCTTCATCCCATCCAGGTGGCTCCTCGGGAAACCTCCTCGAGTTAATAAAGAGGTGAGTGCTGAATGGCTGCAGGTGCTGGCTGTGGGGACAGAAGGGTTCCTGGGGTCTCTAACAGAAACAAGCAGAACCCTATAGGGGATGCATGAAACACAAACCTCCTAGAGAGAGCAGCTTCCTTTGCCTACTGAGCTCTAACGTATGGGCTGTGTCTTGGTTAAATGGAGTGTGTTACTCCCGATTAGTACCAGTCCATACAGACATTGGCAAACCCACTGTTACTATCTCCATAGGGATAGGAGCAATCACCTATTGGAGAGCAAGAGGAAGAAAGTCTCCTGGTCAGATGGTGCCCTGTGGGGTGGTTGGGTGGAGTTGAGTTTGCTTGGTGCTGATAAAGCCTAAGGGATTTATTGTTGTCTCCTATGGAAAATTAGTTATGAGTTCTTGTCCCCTAACACTGAGCTTCAGAGCAAGTCCTGATTTGATCTGTAGCCCCGGCCTGCACATAAACCTAACTGTCGGGCAAACCCAGTCTTCTTCTCCTGTCTCTGATTAAAAGCTTCCCACCTATTCTCATTTCTGTCCTTGCCCTGAAATGAAGCTGCTTGGTTTGTCTTGTGAAGCATACAAAGGTAGAAAGGCAGCAGGGAAACAGTGGAAAAGACAAGAGCAAAAGGAGCAGATGGGGAAGGTGAGGAAAATCTGTACGTAATAAAGCTTACTAATGCATAAACTTATAGTGGGAAGAGAACACAGCAAAAACCCCACCCAGACCTGTCCAGATCTCAGCAGGCTGCTTCCAGAGATAACCTCATTGAAGCCTGGGGTGTGCTTCGGGCACAGAGGGTATTTCCCCACTAACAGAGCTGCCCGTTTACCTTTCAGCTTGGCCAGGCACCAGCAGTTGGACAACCCAGCCATCGTGGTGTACGCTATGATTGGGAACGACGTCTGCAACGGGTAGGGGTACATCTAACACTCATCGTATCAACCTGTGTGAATGGCTTGGAGTGGTGCTGGTGGCTCGGGCAGTTACACCTCGCTGCTTTGCACTTCCTGTGCTTGCATTTCCCTTTCTCTGCTGTTCCTGTGCTCTGTGTTCTGGTTTGTGCTGAGATGGGATTCCTGCTTGTGGCCCTTCCCCTCCTAGCTCTGTCCTACTCCTCCCTCTGCAGCTCTTCTGCCCTTTTCCCCCCTTCGGCCCCTCTGCTCTCCTCCTCCTGCACTTTCCTCCTCTTCTTGCTGGAATTCTCCTGCCCCTTTCTCCTCATTTGGCCTCTCTTTTGCTCTCCTCCCTCCACGCTTTGCTCCTCACCCCACAGGTCTGTCCCTTTCTCCTCCTCTGGCCCCTGTTCTCCTCCTCTCGTGCTGTACTTGCACCTTGATTCACTCTCCTCTCCTGCCCTGCTCCTTCCTGGACTCTCCCCCTGCTTTTGCTCTTTCCCTTTCAATGTGCTCTGCAGAGCAGCTTCAAACCCACCCCACGCAGGCTGCTCAGGGCAAGTCACAGCCGCCCTAAGGAGCAGCAGGAGCCACGGAGGGTCCCTTCCCGGGGCACGAGAAGAGCTTTGGGAAGCCAAGTCCTTCCTTCCCAGCACAGGAGGCCAGGGGGCCCTGAGCAGGAGCCCAGGCCCGTAGTGAGGCGTACATGTACAGGGAACATTAAACAGGCACAGGGAAAGGCAGCAGACAAACACAGTGCATTCAATGGCATCGAGTGAAGGACAACAGCAGGGAGTCAGTACCTGAGAGTCCCGGGGCTGCAGCACAGAGCTCCTCGCACCTCGACCGCCTCGCCCGCTCTGACCCCGTGCGCACCAAGGACCCGGCCCAGCTGCCCCAAAGCCTTTAATAGGGGCAGGATCAGCCCCGGGGAGCCCTGATTGGCTGCTGCCACCAGCTTAAAAGCTCAGCACCTGCAGGCAGAGGAACACGAACCAGCTGGGAACAGCCAGGATCATGGGAACAGCCTGGGATCATGGGAACAGCCTGCAAGGAGGTAATGGCTGCCCTGCCCTTCCCTGCCCTTCTGCTCCCTTCCCTTCCACTCCTTAACTTTCTTTCTCCTTCTTTCTCCTTCTTTCTCCTTCTTTCTCCTTCTTTCTCCTTCTTTCTCATTCTTTCTCATTCTTTCTCCTCATCTCATCTCATCTCATCTCATCTCATCTCATCTCATCTCATCTCATCTCATCTCATCTCATCTCATCTCATCTCATCTCATCTCATCTCATCTCATCTCATCTCATCTCATCTCATCTCATCTCATCTCATCTCATCTCATCTCATCTCATCTCATCTCATCTCATCTCATCTCTATCTATCATCTATCATTCTCCATCTCCATCTCATCTCATCTCATCTCATCTCATCTCATCTCATCTCATCTCATCTCATCTCATCTCATCTCATCTCATCTCATCTCATCTCATCTCATCTCATCTCATCTCATCTCATCTCATCTCATCTATCTCATCTCATCTCATCTCATCTCATCTCATCTCATCTCATCTCATCTTCATCTCATATTCATCTCATCTCATCTCTATACTCATCTCATCTCATCTCATCTCATCTCATCTCATCTCATCTCATCTCATCTCATCTCATCTCATCTAGTACTCATCTCATCTCATCTCATCTCATCTCATCTCATCTCATCTCATCTCATCTCATCTCATCTCATCTCATCTCATCTCATCTCATCTCATCTCATCTCATCTCAGTCTTCATCTCATCTCATCTCATCTCATCTCATCTCATCTCATCTCATCTATCTATCTCATCTCATCTCATCTCATCTCATCTCATCTATCTATCTATCTCATCTCATCTCATCTCATCTATCATATCTATCTCATCTCATCTCATCTCATCTCATCTCATCTCATCTCATCTCATCTAGTCTATCTCATCTAGTCTGATCTCATCTCATCTCATCTCATCTCATCTCATCTCATCTCATCTCATCTCATCTATCATATCTATCTCATCTCATCTCATCTCATCTAGTCTATCTCATCTCATCTATCTATCTCATCTCATCTCATCTCATCTCATCTCATCTCATCTCATCTCATCTCATCTCATCTCATCTCATCTCATCTCATCTCATCTCATCTCATCTCATCTCATCTCATCTCATCTATCTATCTATCTCATCTCATCTCATCTATCTATCATCTATCTATCTATCTCATCTCTATCTCATCTCATCTCATCTCATCTCATCTCATCTCATCTCATCTCATCTCATCTCATCTCATCTCATCTCATCTCATCTCATCTCATCTCATCTCTATCTCATCTCATCTCAGTCTCAGTCTGCATCTCATCTCATCTCATCTCATCTCATCTCATCTCATCTCATCTCATCTCTTATCTCATCTCATACTCATCTTCTATCTCATCTCATCTCTATCTCATCTCATCTCATCTCATCTCATCTCATCATCTAGTCTCTATCTTCTATCTCATCTCATCTCATCATCTCATCTCATCTCATCTCATCTCATCTCATCTCATCTCATCTCATCTCATCTCATCTCATCTCATCTCATCTCATCTCATCTCATCTCATCTCATCTCATCTCATCTCATCTCTTCTCATCTCATCTCATCTCATCTCATCTCATCTCATCTCATCTCATCTCATCTCATCTCATCTCATCTCATCTCATCTCATCTCATCTCATCTCATCCATCTCATCTCATCTCATCTCATCTCATCTCATCTCATCTCATCTCTATCTCTATCTCATCTCATCTCATCTCTATCTCATCTCATCTCATCTCATCTCATCTCTATCTCATCTCATCTCTATCTCATCTATCATATCTCATCATCTCTATCTCATCTCTGATCTCTATCTCTATCTCATCTCTATCTCTATCTCTATCTCTATCTCATCTCTATCTCATCTCTATCTCTATCTCATCTGTCTCATCTCTATCTCATCTATCTATCTCATCTCATCTCATCTCATCTCATCTCATCTCATCTCATCTCATCTCATCTCATCTCATCTCATCTCATCTCATCTCATCTCATCTCATCTCATCTCATCTCATCTCATCTCATCTCATCTCATCTCATCTCATCTCATCTCATCTCATCTCATCTCATCTCATCTCATCTCATCTCATCTCATCTCATCTCATCTCATCTCATCTCATCTCATCTCATCTCATCTCATCTCATCTCATCTCATCTCATCTCATCTCATCTCATCTCATCTCATCTCATCTCATCTCATCTCATCTCATCTCATCTCATCTCATCTATCTATCTCATCTATCTATACTCATCTCATCTCATCTCATCTCATCTCATCTCATCTCATCTCATCTCATCTCATCTCATCTCATCTCATCTCATCTCATCTCATCTCATCTCATCTCATCTCATCTCATCTCATCTCATCTCATCTCATCTCATCTCATCTCATCTCATCTCATCTCATCTCATCTCATCTCATCTCATCTCATCTCATCTCATCTCATCTCATCTCATCTCATCTCATCTCATATCTATCTAGTCTAGTCTTCATCTCTATCTATCTCATCTCATCTCATCTCATCTACTATCTCATCTATCTATCTCATCTCATCTATCTATCTCATCTCATCTATCTATCTCATCTCATCTCATCTCATCTCATCTCATCTCATCTCATCTCATCTCATCTATCTATCTCATCTATCTATCTCATCTCATCTCATCTCATCTCATCTCATCTCATCTCATCTCATCTCATCTCATCTCATCTCATCTCATCTCATCTCATCTCATCTCATCTCATCTCATCTCATCTCATCTCATCTCATCTCATCTCATCTCATCTCATCTCATCTCATCTCATCTCATCTCATCTCATCTATCTATCTATCTCATCTCATCTCATCTATCTATCTATCTCATCTCATCTCATCTCATCTCATCTATCTATCTCATCTCATCTCATCTCATCTCATCTCATCTCATCTCATCTCATCTAGTCTCATCTATCTATCTATCTCATCTCATCTCATCTCATCTATCTATCTCATCTCATCTATCTCATCTCATCTCATCTCATCTCATCTCATCTCATCTCATCTCATCTCATCTCATCTCATCTCGATCTCATCTCATCTCATCTCATCTCATCTATCTATCTATCTATCTATCTCATCTCATCTCATCTCATCTCATCTCATCTCATCTCATCTCATCTCATCTCTATCTCATCTCATCTCTATCTACCTATCTCATCTCATCTCATCTCTATCTCATCTCATCTCATCTCATCTCATCTCATCTCATCTCATCTCATCTCATCTCATCTATCTATCTCATCTCATCTCATCTATCTATCTCATCTCATCTATCTATCTCATCTATCTATCTCATCTATCTATCTCATCTATCTATACTCATCTCATCTCATCTCATCTCATCTCATCTCATCTCATCTATCTATCTATCTATCTATCTATCTCATCTCATCTCATCTATCTATCTCATCTCATCTCATCTATCTATCTCATCTCATCTCATCTCATCTCATCTCATCTCATCTCATCTATCTATCTATCTATCTATCTATCTATCTCATCTCTATCTATCTATCTATCTATCTCATCTCATCTCATCTCATCTCATCTCATCTATCTCATCTCATCTATCTATCTATCTCATCTATCTGATCTCAGTCTATCTATCTATCTATCTATCTATCTCATCTCATCTCATCTCATCTCATCTCATCTCATCTCATCTCATCTCATCTCATCTCATCTTATCTCATCTCATCTCATCTCATCTCATCTCATCTCATCTCATCTCATCTCATCTATCTATCATCTATCTCATCTCGATCTCTATCTCATCTCATCTCATCTCATCTCATCTCATCTCATCTCATCTCATCTCATCTCATCTCATCTCATCTCATCTCATCTCATCTCATCTCATCTCATCT